CTTGTGCCAGAGCTGATGCAGCACATCAGGCTCCTCCAGAAGCCATTTAACCCTGCTAATAGGGCCATGTTATTGAGTTAGAGCAGCTCACAGATGAGTCTGACAAGTTCCAGAGCCAGTGTTGAAGGATAGACTGAGAGGAGAGGAGGGAAAGGGAGGAGTAAATGTCAAGGGGGTAGCAGGAAGAGAGATCTCCCTCCTTTTCATGATCAGCCAACTATTTTGCTGCCTGCCAAGCTGCAGATGTAGGCTTCTGAGAACCTGGAAACATATTCTCTGTCCCCTGTGGTAACATCAATTGCATAAAAACTCCCATTTCTTAACAGTGCTTTACCATGCCTATAACATAAACACTGACACCCAGATGCTATGAGAGATCACAATAATAATGCACACAAGAAGACCCTAGGACAAAAATAAATACTAAATTTATGTTGAACAGGGCTCCTTGTGCTTGATTTATGTAGGCTAGGGCAGAGTTTACCAGGCTAAACCCTCTCCAGACTAACAGTATCTCTGAAATGAGCAGGCTGTACAACAGTGTTGATAATTTACTGATGTGACGAAGTACATAAAGCGAGCAAAACCGAACAGTTGATGTGTTGTAGTACATGTGCTCCTCTCTCCATGTTGTTGTTAGGGCTTCATTGAGCCCTGGCAGATCCCTCCCTCATGGAGTACAGCTGCGTAGCACAGCAAATGTAACCAGACAACAGAGACTAAATGCTGAACTTCACCCTGTGAAATGCCATAACTGTGGCACAGGCCTTGTCATGTGTCAATCCTTGTCTGTATTTCTGTTTGTCAGGGTATTACGTGGAAGTGTAGGATTGCCCTCCAAGTTCAATTTACTGTAAAGAGAGATGCAGTATTTTATTCCATAATATCTTTGTCTAAGTGTTTGAAAGAGCTGTATGTGAATTGCTCCAAGAGGCTGTCAGAGGAAAGCTTTGTGGTTGTTTCTCTGGCTCCTGCATTTTCCTGGGGTAACTTTTTCAGGAAGAAGTAGAAATATTTAATTAGAGATATTAAAAAAAACCAACAACAACTATTGGAAACTTGTGGCAAATGCTTGAGAGGGTTTATTTTGTATTAGCAGGGAAAGTACATTTGTTTGTTGTTTGGGTTGTTTTTTTGAACTTCCAATTTGTGTAGCTGAGAGAGGAGTTTTTGTGAACTTTGATCCTGGTTCCTGCTGCTGAAGCAAGGATTTGGTTAGGTTCTCTGGCTTTGTACAGAAAGTCTTGGGTAAACAATTCTGTTGAGAAAAGGGAAGTATCTCACTTTTCCTTCCAGGAGAAAGACCTGTAAACATGTGAGGTAAATGTACTGTTGGAAGAAGTCATTGATGTGGTGGTATTGATCTCTGCAGTTTTTTACTAGTGAGGTAGCTCTGTGGTTGTGAACTTGCTGTCTTGATCTCTATTTTGTCTGGGCCATACCTGAAAAAAATTCATCTTTTAACTCAGTATTCCATGGCTTTGGATTGATGACCTTGTAAGTTTGAAAGTGTTTGATTTAGAGACAAATCTGTACAATCATGCAGTTTTAGTGCTTAATAACTTCTGCTCAGGATGAACTTCCAAGTCAAAGTGTTTGTAACATTTTATCCTTTGGTATTGTCTGTAATGATCAGGTTTTTGTAAACAGTAGAAGTAATCTGAGAATTTCAGAGTTATGAAGTGCAACAATCAAATTGGCTATTCTCATCAGTTACAAACATTTTATCTACCATGGAAATGACCAGAGGCGATGAAAAACCTTAGAGTCATAGTTAAAGTGGATCATAGTTTACATTAATTCTTTTGGTGTTGCATGGAAATTTTTGTCTTCAGGATTTCCTACCATCATACTTGATTAATGATTGACATGCCTTAAATGTCATTATCCCAAGGATCTCAGATCATCCTTTTGAAGAATGTAATGGTGGATTTAAAGAATTCTTTAAATCTTCTGTTGAGCAGCCTCTAGAAAATAAAGTTGAGGCAATTGCAGTTTGATCACCTGAATCAGATGTTGTGTAGACCACTTTCTTGTGGTCTGTGTGGCTTAATGTATGCATCTTGATGCTCTTCTATATGTATTTGAAGAAGAGCAATTGTCTTGAACTGTATAGTGTAAATCTTGATCAATAGTAAATTGAAACTGGTTTAAAAATGATGCCACAGGCTGTTAAACTACTAAAGCTAAAAGTTCTGGTGTTGATGCAATTAGAGTGGCACAGTTTATTTTATTCCTAGAACTGGCATAAACTATTGCATGTGATTTTCTTGTGAGTTGTCTAGCTTCCATTGTGCTGGGATAGTTAAAGATAAAGACAAGGCTTTCAAAAGTGAAAAATGCTATCTGGCAAACATTTTCCCAAATCACTTGGTGGTTCCCATGGTACCTCTCATAACATTGCTGGGATAAATATGCTGTGTGTCAAGCAGGGATTGAGTGCAGGGAGACAGGTAGGGCTGATACAACAGAACTGGCTTTCTTGTTGCCGTATTTATTACCATGGTTGCACATAATTTTCATTTCTTGCAGATATCTTTGTTTTATCATTCCCCTTATAAATACAGAAAATGGATGTATGCATAGAAGAAAATGCTTCCTCTGGTTTTGCTTTAAATAAGAGTAACAAAACAAATTATTGGACAGGTTTTTCATTTGAGAAAACATGTCTAATTGAGATAGATCAAATTGCTAATGAAATGGACTGCTGATGCCTGCCAGGAGAGATACGATCTCTGTTACTCCAATGTCTAACTAAAAGTGGGTTAATGCAGGGATTTCTTTGATATTTTAGGGAAGATGGTAAATGATTTGATTAATTTGAGTTCCTGTTACTTGCTTTTAACCTTGGGTCTGTAGTCTGTTTTAACACCCAACTGTTAGGAGTATTCAGATGCTATCCTCTGGTTTTTGAAACTTCCAGGTCCATTTTGGTTAATGATACTTCATTTTATTGAACATCAACTAAACACACTGTATTAGCTGTGCCTCATTGTTGGGATTTTGTAATGTGGAGTAGAGTTTGTAGTGAGGAGAAGTAAGAGTAGGCTTGACTCCTGTTTGAGTCTGGCTGTCAGCTTGGGGCTAGCATCAAAAACACTGTCCTCCCTGTGTCGGTTCCTTAAATGAGGCTTTTTGGATTTTATCCTCAGCATGTCACTGTTATTGCCTCGTTGCTATGATACAATACTTACTCATGCAATCCGGGGTAGAATATTAGAAGATCTGAGCTGAAATGTTATGTAACTTACAAATGTTTTTACAGCTGATGCTTATTATTTTGCAGAGTGTAACAATTCGTGTCTTTGTAGTTATGAGTGAAATAAGCATCTTGCAAGACTTTTATTTAAAAAAAAAGTTGAAATTGCAGAATTAACATTCAAAAGTATGAATTGTTCTCTATGAGGGAGTAGTAATTGCTAGCTTTTTGAAAAGCTAGCTGAAGTTGTTATGCTCAGTTAATAGGATCATAACTGTCAGATGGGGAAAGGGAATACAATACAATATTCTGGTGTTCGAACTTTCAGAGCAGAGCAAGCAGTTGGGATTACAGTGGAGATGTTTCGGCCCTTTTTAACAATTGCATTTTGCTTATGGAAATGAAAGAACTCAGTCAAATAATTACTGAATATTAAAACCACTGCTGACTGCCGTTCCAGCCACTAAATTGAAGGTGTTTAGGTAAGAAACTTGAGGAACTGGTATTATCAAAGTGTGTTTGAGGTTTTTAAATTTACAGACTTAATTTGAAGTCTGTTTCATTAGGATAACCCTAAAACAATAAAGAGAAGCATAAGATCTTTTTGTGATTTGTTTGAATTTTAAAGTAAGACTTAAGACCAGTACTCAGTTTTACAAGGCAGTTGCCTTTTCCTTGTCTTGATAATCACTTTATGCTGAAGCAGCAGTGCTAGTACCAATACTACAGTGAATGAAAGAAGCTCAGGGATTAGTAGTCTGGCTATAGACAGGTCTTGAAAATTCTTCAGGGGGAGTGCATTCCTTATCTGCAGATAAAATTTGGAATATAAATCTTTCACCAGAACAAGTGAAATCCCAACTGACTGATAGATGAGGTGATGTGATGTTGCTGGAGTGGTTTAGAACCCCAGCAAATAATTAAAAACAAGAATGAAAGGCACATTAAACCACTTTTTTCAGTTAAAACCATGGCTACTTTTGTAATGTTCATGTGACTTTTGAACAGTTAAAATATTGTAAGGATGTATTAAATTTTTGAAGTTTACCGTACTTAATAATCCGTCCTCTTTAGAGCTAATCTGAAATACTAATGGAGGAATTTTGCTTATCAGCTTATAGAGAAACTGCACTCTAAAATGAAAATGCCAAGTCATAGCCAAACATGTTGTCTGAATATGCCAAAAAAGCTGGAAAACTTTACATTACTAAGATTGTAATAAATTGTTTAGACCAAAGCATGAAAATTCAAGATTAATCATTTTGAAGCACTGGAGTTGATTCTTAAGAGAAACATTTATCACATGATGTCGAAAGTATGTGAAGTATTTTGCATTGGGGTAAAAAGACAAGGTTCCTTCATAGCAGATTTTGCAGCTTTTAAGCAGGTTACATAATAAAGGATTAGGGACCAGAACGAGACAAATCGGATGAATGAAAGGTTAGTATGATGCACTGCTGCTGCATATGACTTCTGGTGAGGGAGCGTTGGTGCTTATTAATGTCGATGTATTTCAAATAAAGTTAATTCAGGAGCTTGTTTTCCATAAATATATTCATTGCTGTAATGTTTATTCACTATTTTGTGTATGAAGCACAAGTTATGAATAACAGGTCTTTCATTTGTGCTTAAACAGATGTTTTCCGTTTTGACAATATTGCTTATTAATTTACTGAGTATAAAGTATGCTATTCCCCATTAAAAAAATTGGATACCTTGCAAATTGTAGTTAACAAAATAGATTTAGAAATCGTGAGTTTCCTTCTACTGACCTAAGTGTTGGTTGTTTTTCCTTTTATAGATGCCACCTTCAATGAACAGCAAGATCTTTTTTGTCAGAAGTTACAACAGTGTTGTGTGCTCTTTGACTTCATGGACTCTGTTTCAGACCTGAAAAGCAAAGAAATTAAGAGAGCAACACTGAATGAACTGGTTGAATATGTTTCAACAAATCGTGGAGTGATTGTTGAATCAGCTTATGCTGACATAGTGAAAATGGTAAGGAGAATGCTCTTGTTACATTTTGAATTTTAATAAAATATCTCTTCATTAGAGTCATAAACTGATCATCTGACTCAGAATTGCTATTGAGTACTCTGCTTATGCAACATAATATAATTTGTTAATGATAACTTGGCTTACAAGGTTGCTTAGAAAGGCTTGTAAAAACAAACAAGTTTTGCTTATTAGCTGAAATATGATGCATTCAGGTTAATTACAGTAGATCTACTGTATTGCAGATGCTTGCAGTCTGGGTAAGCTTTGAAGTTCTCATTCAGAAAATGGCAGTATTTTGGTGCTGGCTGTCTTTGTTTATTTAAAAATGGCAGTGGAGTGACAGGCTAAAGTTTTCTGGTCAAGATTCTTGTGGATAGTAGTCTCAACAGAAGGTTTATCAGTGTAAGAAAGCAGCTCTGGTTTGTAAATACTTGATGTGGCTGTTTGTTACTGTTTTGGCCTTGGATTGCTGTGCTAGAGTAGTGTAAGTGGTTTGCTCGAGTTGTAAACCACAGGATGACTTGTACTGTGCCATTTCTACAAATCACTTGTTGAATAAGCAACAGAATATTTGTGGTTGTTATCTGCTGGGTTTCCCAGGTTTTTTAATATGCATTTTTGAGTGCTGCGTGACTGATATGCCTATGGCCTATGTAAAGGGAATGCAACTCAAGGACATTTGACAGTAATCTGAAATATTTTAAAAGTGTTTTTTCTAGAAATTTAAAATGTAAATAGAATGCGTTTTGTACCCCTGCATTTAGACTAATGGTTTTCTAAACTTCAGTTAAGTTTACATAGGCACAGTGGTGACACTAAAAGTAGATATCCGTAACGTAAGCAGACCACTTCAGGCATACAGCCTACAACTTTTGTAGTTTTATATAACAGTGCAAGCTATTTTTTTCTTAAGGTTTTGTTTGGGTTTTGTTTGGTGGTTTTTGTTTCTCTTTTTGTTTCTTTTTCTGTGAGCAGCTGATATGGAAGATCAGGTCTTTAAATAAGCGTATAAATTTTGACCTTAGACTGAAGGGCTAGGATTATTGAAACCCTTTAAATAATTTTAGCTGTTTCACCAAATGCTTATTAGGTTTTGCAAAATGTCTGGGACACTGGGGTTTTTTGAATAGTTTTGTACTTTAAAGGACCTGTGTTTCTGTCTTAAGTGTTTTTACACAAGAAGATAAAGGACAGAGTACATCCACCTCTCTTTTGGCTTTTTTTTTTCCTCCTGTTGGTGGCAGCAAGCCTGAATCCTTGTACTATTTTCTTACTCCATGTGCCCTCTATAGCCTCTTGTTAGAAGAAAGAGTATAGTAACTACCCTGTCATACTTGTTGAAGGAAGACTTTTTATACTGGAGTTGTTTACTTTTCTTGACGATAAGGTGTTGTTGAGCTGTTCTTTTCAGGTTATTGTTGTTGTGCAAATGATCGGGCTGTGTGGATGCTTGTTTTTCCTTCCATAACAAATTTCCCTCCCCTTTTCTCCCCTAAAATGAGAGAAAATGAAGGCCTTAAATGCTCTGTGAGAGCTTTTTCAGAGCTTAAGACAAAGGAACCCTCCAAGCCTGAATAGTATTTCCAGTCTCCCTGGCAACTGGCAGCAGAAAAGGGCTTTGCTGTAAATTAGGCCGAAGTACCAGTTTTCAGAAAGATCTCTGGATGGGTCTCTTCCTCCAAACAACACATGTCAGGCTTGAGGCCTTTCTTTGGAACAAAATGTCTGAGTTTTCAAAGTTGGGTTTTAAAAAAATTTTTAAGACTGTTCAATGTTACTACATTAAAAGTGTTTTTTTGCAGAGTTTTAAGTATAGTGTTTTTGGGATGAATAAATAGAGATCAGCCTTACTGAAACCCAAGTGCCATCTGACTGTAGTAAAGGATGAACAGACTACAAAGTTTCCCTGAAAAAAGCCAGTGTGGCATCAGTAGCAGAAGTGGAGTCGGTTTCTTTCCGAAGCCCCTTGTCTCTCCCTGGGCCTGGGACACCTTTCCTCCAGCTTGCAGGGGCAGCAGCCCAGTTTCCTTGAAGTCACCCGAGTTTTGGGGAGGCAAAGTCAGCAATCACTTACAGATACCAAGAGGAAAAAATATGTTGTTCCTGAGCAGTGCATAGGCAAGGTCTATGCAGGTGAGGAGGTCTCCTTCCCTTCATGATCTCTGTTACTGTGGCAGCTGCTGGGCTCAGTTGTCCCTGCTCTGCTTGGATCCTGAGGTAGGGAGCACTGGTTGAAGCAATACCGATGTCTTTTCAAGCCACCAAGGGTGGAACAAGATGATGATAATAAAAAAAATCTTTGAGGCAGATGTGCAGGACATATATGCTGTAGGTTGTCTTTTTGGAGCCCCAGGCAACATGAGTTTTGTATAATTTCTTTTCCTCAGTTCTTAATTCAAAGACTTTGTTAGAGTTTTGATTACAAATACTTTCAAAGGGGTAGCAGAGTGGTCTGTGCGCCTCCTTTCTAGGTCATCTAAAACTGCTGTCTCCTCAGTCTGGAAAGTCTCTGTTGAAAGTACTCTGAATCACAGAATCTCAGGAGTTGGAAGGGACCTCAAAAGATCATCCAGTCCAGCCCCCCTGACAGAGCAGGATCACCTAGCATAGGTCACGCAGGAACGTGTCCAGGTTGGCCTTGAAAGTCTCCAGAGAAGGAGACTCCACAACCTCTCTGGGCAGCCTGTTCCAGTGCTCTGTCAACCTCACAGTAAAGAAGTTTTTCCTCATGTTCACATAGACCCTCCTATGTTCCAGCTTGCACCCATTTCCCCTTGTCCTGTCATTGGCTCTCACTGAGAAGAGCCTGGCTCCTTCCTCCTGACACTCACCCTTTACAAATTTATAAACATTAATGAGGTCACCCCTCAGTCTCCTCCAAGCTAAAGAGATCCAGCTCCCTCAGCCGCTCCTCATAAGGGAGATGCTCCACTCCCTCGATCATGCACTGGACTCTTTCAAGCAATTCCCTGTCCTTCATGAACTGAGGGGCCCAGAACTGAACACAATATTCCAGATGCGGTCTCACCAGGGCAGAGTAGAGGGGAAGGAGAACCTCTCTGACCTACTCACCACACCCCTTCTGATACACCCCAGGATGCCATTGGCTTTCTTGGCCACAAGGGCACATTGCTGGCTCATGGTCATCCTGCTGTCCACCAACACCCCCAGGTCCTTTTCTGCCTTTCCTTTTCTTGAAGCTAATGGCAAATTAGGATTTGACACTGTGAGTGTTTTAAATTCTAAAATTTCCTGGGAAATTGGAAAGCTCTAGACTTTATCAGGTTTGGGAGCATAACAGAAATGTCCTTCCAGTACACATTACTCCTCCACTTCCTTGTGCCTGCCAACCTCCCCTCATCCCCCGACAGTGTATGAAAATCCAGTGTAAGGAGATTTGTTCTAGCAGTTTGCACAAGCTGTGAATTCAGAATTTCAGAAAACATCAGGTATCCCTCTCTATGCTCAGAAATTGGAATTGAACCTAATATCTCTCCAAATGCTTAGCTCCTTGGGGAGTGTACAGACAGTAAGAATTTTTTCCTTTTTTTTCCTTGTGTTTTAATAAAATATAATTGCTGTGTCTTAATAAATTAACATTTTCAGATGTCACTTTCACACGACTTTTTCTGAGTTTTAATTTAGAAAGCTAATGCTGGATTTGTCTGGAAACCTATGCAGCTGTAAAAGCCTTTCATGATTCGTATTTCTTAAATCACCTTTTTTTGGGTAAGACCCCACTTACGAAGGAAAAGGGATGTTTTAAATAATATGAGAGCATATAGAGAAGCATTTGCCCATAGAAAAACAATGGGGGTTTTAAGCTAAACCACATTTTTTATCAATACTATTAGCACGACATTAGAAAGAAGTAAATGAGATGGGAAGCAAAACTATTTTGAACATAATGAAGTACATGAACCAGTTCTGTAGGGAGTCGGGCTAGTACATAAAAGTGGTGCACAGTACATTTTTAGTTCCATATGTTGTCAGGAGACTGAGAATGCTGGCAGAAGTACTGCATACTCTGAAAATCATAAAATTAGTTGTAAAGATCTGGCCAAGAAGGTTGCTATTTGTTTCTGCTGCAGGAGTCTGTTCAGTAGTTAGTGCCTTGGTATTTGGACTTGAAACTTCCATTCTGTGCTCTGAGGCTCTGCGTTAAGGAGGTGACTGGTTCAGTTGAGCAAGATGCATCTAGAAATAAAAGGAGGTGTTTTCAAAATGTTGCCAGAAGCCTTGTAAAGCAGAGGTAAGGGGGTCTCTGTAGGGGACTGATTTGTGTGTTGAATGTTTTTGTTGAATACCTAATACGAGTAGCCAATATCAAATAACAGAACCAGAGTTGTAGTCTTGGTTTTAGAGCTTGATTAAAATTCACATTCTCTGACTCCGGTTTCCCTTTCCTCTCCCTCCAGCAAGTTTCTGTTGTGCCCCAGATCCCAACTCCCTTGTGTTTACTGCATTATTTCAGGGGTTTTTTTTCCTGCTATATAGTGAAGCAGGAGACCGCTGTGGTGCCCATCCATACAGAACACCGTTGCCCTTGTAGTCTAGAGCAGCAGCGTCTGCAGCTTTACCACATACCAACAGGAGACAGGAGCAGGATGTAGAATGAAGCACGTAGGAGGATATGAAAAATCAGTTTATGCAAAAGCTTTATATCTTGTTTAATGAGGCAGCTTTTTCTTCGATGCAGAGCCAGCTGGGTGACTTCAGGATCTTTTAAAGTCCTTTTGCAAGATTGTTCAGACACCTTGGAGACTCCATGGAGGCTGTGCAGTAGCATTTCCTGCAAACTGTCAAACAGTTTCTTTTGTGTTTAGCAGGCTTGGGTGGTTAGCAGCTATTGGAAACAGATTTGATCCAAAAGACTAAAGACTCTTCAAGATGATTGGAAAAGTTGAGCTGAATGTGTTCCTGAAAAAATAGTATAAAATACAGAAATAAAATTAACTTTGTGTTTCTTTTGTTCATGCTAAAGAGGTTTAAATTCAGTATGTTATATCTGGCAGAAGAGATGACATTTATTTTTCTTTTGACATCTGAAAGATTGGCCATCTATGTACTTGAAAAATCTCTGAAGAAAGCCTTTTAAATTTGCCCTCTTGAGATTGATTTGATATGACTATTGTACTTTTTCTTGGGTTTTGGTTTTTTTTCAGAGTTACTCTGCGTTAAATCCAAAAGTTACAATTGTTACGTATTTCTGACTTCCCAAAACCTTGAAACATCTTGAAGTTATGAAAGGTGAAAAATTGTGAACAGTTCTTCAGTTCTTACTTGAAAGTGAGAAATCTCTTGAAATTAAGTGAAGAACTCTAAGATTAGATCTGTTTTGGGGGTTGTCTGCCTTACATGTGAAGAGAGCTCTGTTTGAATCAGAATTGGTTAGTCATACTGTATTTGTTGTCTTATATAAAACCTCAGCTCTTGGTGTCATATAGTTAAAAATTGGTCGTTATAAGGGGAAACATAAATTTTCTGTTAATATCCATGGTTTCAGAGAAAAATTTTAAATATGACCGTGTCTACATACGAAACCAGTACAACGGTTGAGACAAAAGTTACTTTCTTACTATTTTAATTGGCTTGTTTCAGACAGTTGTCTGTTTGGATTTAGCAGTTTTGGGAAAGAAAATAATTTATTCTGTTACTTTTTTTAAAATATAGTTTTGTTTCATGTAGTTTTAGGATAAAAGCAGTACCTTGCTGAGTGTGATCTGTGGAAGCATAGAAAGCGATACAATTAAACATTTTTTTCTCTTGCAGATTAGTTCTAATATTTTCAGAACACTTCCACCTAGTGATAACCCAGATTTTGATCCAGAAGAAGATGAACCAACTCTTGAAGCCTCATGGCCCCACATACAGGTGTGTGATTCCTTCTATTTTCAAGTGTTCTTGCAAGGCAGGGACTGTGAATGGATACTTGAGTCGTTCTGTGCCTTTGGTAAGAATGTCAAAATTGTTTTTGTAGTACTTATAGTACTATAGTACAGGACTTTCTATACTTGGGGGGGGGAAGTGGTGGCTTTCTTAACATGCATGAATACAGCAGAATGTAAGTCTTCTAAATTGCTTAAATACTTTTTAACAGAGTGATTGCACTGTTAGTGTGGTACATGTCTATCTTAAATATATACATATTTTAGTTAATTATTTTCTTAAGAGGTTTGTTTTCTGCTTGAACAACATTTTTTTGTGATTTCAGTACAATATAAGTGGATGTTAACAGTTTGGTTTCTTGTGACAGTACCAAAAGATGGAGGGATAGCCTTTATTTGCCTTTTAAGCAAGAAATAATATTCTCCTCATTCTTCCCACCCTCCTCCCTCTCTTCACGCACAAACTTTACAATATAGGCGTTGTTGTTTGGTAACAGTTGTTCTATTGTCGTGCTCCTGTGCCCATCTCGTGACTTCAGTAGCATTGCTGTATCAATCACATGATTGACTTGCAACGCTGCTGATTTTTTATTTTCAATTAACTGTTAGAAATTGAACAAACCTAAATAACTTGTAATGTCCAAGTTCCTATCTCAGGTAGTTCATTGCTGAGTTTATATAAGTAGTATCTGTTAAAGGTTATGTAGCAGCTTCTAGTAGTAGCCAGAAGTTGAATAGGTACCACACATCTGCATACCATTGCCTCCCTTCTCTTGAGAGTTAAAATGCTACTCTGTCTCTATAATGTTACAATTCCAGTGTATCAATAAATGCTCTTATTTAAAAACTAGACTTCTAATATTGGCTATAAAAAGTACATGTTCAAGGCAGTATTTGAGACTTAAACCAAGTAAGAAACAAGTTGTCACAAAAAACAACTCTGCAGATTAAAGGCTGTGATAAATCATTATCCTATCTATATATGATTTTAATTCATAGGAGAAATGGCTATAACTAAACTAGATGAGAGGCTTGATTTTGCAGGGGTAGGAGAGTGCAAGGGCTGTGCAAATGTCTCTTATAGACAGCAGCGGCATCATCTGACTTCAAAATGCCCCTGTCGCTTGGGAATAGGACTTGTAAATGTTAGCTCAGTTCACTTTAGGTCATAAGTAAATGATAATTCTTTTTATAGAAAAAGACTTGTGGTTTCTGCAACCAGTTCACTTGTGCTTTAGGCTTCTCTGAGAAACTGAAAGAGGTTCGTAGCCTCTGGTATTATTTGAAATTTGATTTTCAGCTTTTTTCTTTGTCTGTTTCTAAATTAGTTTTGGCCAGGCTGTTTGATCATTGCTTGTGGATTTTCTTCTCCTGCATCAGTTCATCCTGTCCTTGGAATAGTTTGCTCATTGCAGCACAAAGGAAACTGTTTGTGTTTTCCCCTCCTTTCTTTCACAGTTCACAAGCTGCTGGATAGTAGAGGACTGAGTTTGAGAACTTCTTAATTGCCCTCCAGGAGCACAAAGCTGCTGAAGTGTCAAATTTTGTGCACGGCAGAATTTTTTACAGCCTAAAGAACTGCTTGGGGGCTAGGGAAAAGAGGAATGTTTTGCTGACTGTAATTTGTGATTACTCTGATACAAACAAATTCAGAATTGCATCCTGATTTGGCAGTCAGGTAACCAGTTTTCTGGGAGGGAAAAGAAAGAAATAAGAATCTCTGCTCTCTTCTGGTTGAATCTGTTGCCGTTTCTCTAGACAGTAACATGATAGGTAATGGCTTAGTAAGTTACCAGTGGATGTAGTCATAACAAATGACTCTAGACCTTCAGTAAAATGAGTGCCGTGGGAAAGACATGGCTTTAACACAAAACTCAGGATGGTTTGTACCAGCCAAACTAGGTTGAACAGGTGGGCATTAGAGCCACTGTGTATTTTGAATCTTGGAGTTGCAGAGTTGGTGGAATTGCAGTAATATTCCAGTGGTGTTGCAAGAAAGCAGATTGAATCATTGAAGTAATAGGAGTTCGTTTCATAGCTCTTTGACCCAGGCAGACCAGTTTTGAGAACCAAAAGGACTGAATCCAGCAGTTTTCCCCAGACTGAGTATTCCAGTGCTAATGCTTAAGAGACAGGCATGCTCAACTTTCTGGAGGATTCTTTTTCGGTTTTGTTTTTGTTCTAAGGTAGGAGCAGCCAGTATCTCTTGTGGCTAGAACCCATTCTTGTCCCCATAGTTGATATTTGCTGTTGTTGTGCTTCTAAATTTGCAGACATCAGCATACAGGTGAAGGAGTGGGTGACTGTTCAGAAATGGCCATTGCAGCTTGCTTCCTGAAATGCCTCTGGTAAAGCTTCATGGATTTCCCAAGGCTCCCAAAATTTCCCAAGTTATTTGATACCTTTTAGCAGCTGTACGTGTTCTAGGAGCAGTGATACTAATCATCAGGAAGGGAGGTGATTCTGTCAACATCAGAACTGCATAAATTCTGCTTCAGTGCACAAAACGTCCCTGCAATACAGCTTGGAAAGTGGATTTTGGGCACTAAATTTTGTTTTTCTGAAAGCTCTTTAAGAACAACAGCAACAATTGTGGTTCTGGAATTGCATGTGTTTATATGAAGTATTCAAATGATTCCTAAAGCATACGGCTCCTGTATTAGAAATGAGACATGTAACTGATTAATTTGTTGTCATATTGACAATGTTGCGTTAATATTGACTTTTTCTGTTTTATAGATGAGATTTCCCTTGGTTTTGATCCTAATTGATACCCTAAACTTAATTTTGGGCAGCTTATACCAAGATGTTACAGGATTATGCTTTAACTTAGTTCTTCTGCTTGATGTTTATCTCAGTCCCCATATCTCTTTATGGGAAAAAGCCGTAATTGTCCTTTCTCCCTGTCCTTTAGAGAAAACAAAACATGCCAGTTTAGTCTTCGCTCCTCAAAGGTGCTCTGTCCCATGACAATTCTAGTGGCTGCTTCTCTGTTATCCTTTCAGATTTGAGTACATTTCCTCAAGCATGTGTAGGACTGTGCATCTCTCTGTGCTGTCAGCGTCTTCCTGGGACATCCCAGGATTTCATCTGTCACCTCCGTGGCTTCATTGTGGAGATAGATCTTAGTCATTCTGTGGTTAACCCTTTATTGGCTTAAAGGCTCACAAATGCTTAGCAGAGCTTTTTCTTGGATCTCATAGAGTGACTTTGAAGTCCTTGAGTTTCATCCTGTATTTATTGCTCCAGGCGTTCCGAGTCCATGTGTCCTTTCTTATTCATAAGCTGATACACTGTTTTCTTTTTTCATTTTTCCCCCCAGTGGTAGCTTTTGATACTGTGTCATTGTCTAAGTAGTTATCACACATGACTGTTCTTTGGTCACTGACAGAAATATTCAATGTAGAAATGTATTACAGACATATTTAATGACATTTAGTTCCACATTTAATCACTATGAAGCTGAGCTAATAATCTCCCTACATATGTTTCCCAGTTCAATACAAAGCACTAACAAATTTATCAAGTTTCTAGCTTGAGTAAGATCAGTAGGATCATAGAATCATAGAACAGTTTGGGTTGGAAGGTACCTTTTGTCCAACACCCCTGCAGTGAGCAGGGATGTCTTTAGCCAAATCAGGTTGCTCAAAGCCCTGTCCAACCTGGTATTGAGTGTTTCCAGGGATGGGGCATCCGCCTCCTCTGTGGGCAACCTGTTCCAGTGTTTCACCACCCTCTACAAAAAATGTCTTACTTATATCTAGCCTGAACCTACCTTCTTTTAGTTTAGAATCATTACCCCTTGTCCTGTTCCAACAGGCCCTACTAAAAAGTCTGTCCCCGTCTTTCTTGCAAGCCCCTTTTAAGCACTCGCAGGCTGCTGTGAGGTCTCCCTGCAGCCTTCTCTTCTCCAGGCTGAACAACCCCAACACTTAACCTGGCTTCACAGGAGAGGTGCTCCAGCCCCCTGATCATTTTTGTGGCTCTCTTCTGGACCCACTCCAGCAGCTCGATGTCCTTCTTGTGCAGAGCTCCAGAACTGAACACAGTACTCCAGATAGGGTCTGACCAGAGCAGAGGGACAGAATCCCCTCCCTCACCCTGCTGGCCACACTTCTTTTGATGCAGCCCAGGATGTGGTTGGCTTTCTGGGCTACAAGTGCACGTTGCCGGCTCGTGTCCAGCTTTTCATCCACCAGTACCCGAAGCCCTTCTCCAAAGGGCAGTTCTCAGTCCCTTCATGCCTGTCTTGATACTGAGGGTTAACCTGACCCAGGTGCAGCACCTTGCACTTGGCTTTGTTGAACCTCATGAGGTTCGCATGGGCCCACTTCTCCAGCTTGTCTGAGTCTCTCTGGATGTTGACCACACCACTCAGCTTGGTGCCGTCTGCAGACTTGCTGAGGGTGCACTCAATTCTGCTGTCTGTGTTGTTGATGAAGATATTAAACAGCTGTGGTTGATCTTTCTTAGACAGAGGATGGAGCATCGTAATACTTAAAACTAAATTTTTGGACTGTCTACTGCCAAGCTTTTTAAACATACTGTCCTGCGTTGCTTATTGTGCAGCTGTGTGCTGTTGCGTTTATGGACAAGAGGAGAAATTAAAGCTGTACAGAGAAGCCTGGGTTTTATTACAGTTCTGTTACATGAAATTTGTATGCATTTGAACTGCTGGTGTGCAAAGCTCTGGTTACAGTCTGAGGGGAAGGAGGAGTGAAGGGAAAGTTGTGTTTCTGAGCTTCTGCTTTGCAGGTACAGCATACCCTGCTTGAGGTGATGCTTTAGTAACTGTCATCTCCAGTGTTCTAGATAAGACTTCATGTCAAGCCCTTCTCTCAAGTGAACTTTGTCATTATGAATTACTCAGGTGTTGGCTCTCAGTTTAGTAAGTACTCATAGTAGTGATAGTTGAAACACTACCCTGTTAGTGTGACCACAGCTCTGTGTGGGTTTTATTTAGAAGTCCGGTCGATGATGTCTTTACGTATATAAACTGCATTCTAGTATTGTTACTAATCACTTGTTTAACTGACATGGACTTAAGAAATAGGCTTTAAGAACAGCAGCAGCCCTGAATGTACCAAAATATAAGGCATCTTTCCTCTCAATTCTGTCTTAGTTAAGAGATGCCTGATGTGTGTTTTATAAAGCTGCCATTGTTACAGAAGTACAGTATTTTGTGTTGTGGACTTCTGGTGAACCCCAAAATCTTGGACTTGTGCCTCTGGCTTTCATGCCTCTCTGCTACCTCAGGCCCTTGCTAGCTCTGTCTCCTCTTTTTCTATCTGTGGAAATTGTGGGATGATAGCAAATGGGGACTTAAACTCAATAGAAATAATATACTACAGAATATAAAGGATGTTGAAGAGAAATCTGCAGAGGGACCTGTTGCTTGAATTGAGTGTCCAGGATATAGAAACGCAATGTTATGCCAAACTCTTAAGTTTCTGTGTATTCATTCAACTTTTTAATGTAACTTTTCATTTTTGGGGTTTTCAGTTAAATTTCACAATTTAATTTCAGGAACACTTACCACGTGTTTCTTCATCTGTTTAAGGAATTATGTGATGTTAGAGCACTTAATTTTGCCCTCAGTGTTGATAAGTGTTTGGTAACTTATTTCTACATAATAAATTCTTATTATAGTAGGAAATGTGAATGTATTTAATGCTTAGAGCTTGGTTTCTGTCTAATAGCGATATTTTCAGTATATAATTTATTAAGCTTTGACTCTTCTGGGAATGAAAGTGTTCTTGACACTTACTGTAATTCTTTCAACAAATTCCAGTAGAGGCTGTGATTAAGCAGTGAGGTGTTGGGATTCGGTTTCCTTTTGTCCCCTTGAAGCATGTGAATAGTCCCACTGTGTGGGGTGGCGGGGCTGTCCACCCGTGTTACAGTGTACTTACTAACTTCCAAATTGTCACTCCAATCTTTCTAGTTGGTGTATGAATTTTTCCTGAGGTTTTTGGAGAGCCCAGATTTTCAGCCTAGCATTGCAAAGCGCTATATTGACCAGAAATTTGTACAGCAGGTAAGTGGAGAGTTTTCCCTCCTCCAGGTTTAAAGATCGCTTCTCAAACTGAACTTACCAGATGACTGTATAGCTAAGGAGAATACTAAAGCTTTAATGTTGAAACAAGGTTAAATTTTAGTTGTTCAACAGTGGCTTCTGCCAAGCACTAAATAAGCAGCACATAATACCACATAGGCTAGATGTCATTTAACTTTAGAAACACTTTGTTTGCAGACATCAGCCTCAGAGCTTTGCAGTGCAAGGTATTTGTCGTTTGTGAATACAAGTTGTGTTTTTAATGTAACTCACTTCCAGTGAAATTGACAGTGTGTGAATTACATTTTTGTAGTGCTCTTATGTTTGCTTTGTAATAGATTCATTGTGGGAAAACTCACAGGAAACTTTTTTCCTGTAAAAAGTTCATGTACTTACCATACAAGAAATGTATTCCAGTATCTACTGACTTGAGTCGATAGGGTCATTCTCTTTTCTACTGTATGTTAACCACAGAAGGAAAATCAACTGAGAAAGTACATGTAAAAATCATGCTTTACTATGCAAAGTAACTATGAGCAGGAAAGTGAAGTGAGATTTCATATTTAATATGACTTTTCAAGGAATTGGGATGCAGAATACCATGCCAATTTTTGTCCAAGGTTAACTCAGTGGGGATTTTGGGGTTTTTTTGCCATTTCAAAAGACTTGTTTGTCAAGGAAAAGCTCAGTATCTGAAGAGTGGGTGCTGGCAGGCCGTCACAGTACAGCAGTGAAAAGTAAAAACATATATGGATTATTTCCCTCCCCACCTTCAGTCACTGCATTTAATTTCCATTTGTTTGGTGTTACTGTTCTTGTTCATAAGTGTTTCTTTCTTCTGTGTTTTATTTGACTTTCCCACAAAATTCAGGCCTGAAGCTGCTGCTGAACTGTTGGCCATGGGTATCCAATTTACTGATTGACCTGTGGTTCCTAAGAGTCATGTTGCAGAGTTTCAGTTCCTGAGTTTTCACTTGATCTTTCTCTGGAGTACAAGCCAGACAATGCCATGAGCAGCTAGCTGTATATGGGAGAAAAGTGGAGTAGTGACCCTGAGAAATTCCTTCTAAATCTAAAAATGACATGAGGCTGGACAAAGTTCCTGAGCAGCTGTTTCCAGTCCCTTACGTGCTCAGTGTAGTCATACGTATGTCAGACCTGGACTGAGCAGGAGGCTGTGGTGACCGCTTGAGTGAAGTTACTGACTATTTTAGCACAGTTAACAGTTCTGAATATGCTTTTCAGAGGAAAAAATAACTAAAATAATGGTCTGTAATGAGTCTGATGAATTCAAGTGAGTATGGTCTTCTCTGTGTCCTTGGGAAACTTTCTACAAGAAAAAAGCATGTGGAAAATCTTGCTGCCTTACTGGGGGCCTTTAGTCTGTATTAACAGAGAATCAGTTAATAATTACATATCTTATGCTTGCTTTATGACCCTCCCTCCATATTAAATCATTAATTGTGAAATTTCTTGTATAGGAATGGATTTGTTTAACGTTCAAGATGCAAGTAGCTTTTTGAGATGAGCAGTACAGGATTTTAGCTAAGAAATTGTAAATATCTGACACAGATTTGATTCATTCTGATTTCTTAAAGACCAAGTGTAAACCACTTACTGAAGGTTTGATAATCTCATTCTTGCAATTTCATTTTTATTTTGATAGTGTAATAGTTATTGTAGTGGCTTTGTCTGTTGTACACAGACTTCTGAAGGGAATGAAGCTGCTGGGTTTATTTAATAAAAAATCAGCTTTATTAAAAATCTGATTTTGAAAATAGAATATTGACATCCAAACAATATTTTCAGTTAAACTGATTCTAAGTTTTCTAATGTAAACTTGTAAATTGAAGCTGAAAGTCGAATTAGTTAGTAACACAGCAAAACGTAAGCCTTTCCAAAGTAATACATTTCTATTTAATTTCTAAAGTTGTTGGAGCTCTTTGATAGTGAAGACCCCCGAGAACGTGACTTCCTGAAGACAGTTCTTCATCGAATTTATGGAAAATTCCTTGGTTTAAGAGCATTCATCAGGAAACAGATTAACAACATTTTCCTCAGGTAGACTGTATATATGTGTGTGTGATTACATCAAGGAATACTTAATCTTGCTTTCATGGTCTGAATCTGTAGTGATTTAGTCTTGAAACAAAAGACCAGGTTTTAGTCTGTGGTCTGGCATTCAAATATTGGAATCTTATTAAAGGTTATTTCTTTGGATTCTCTGATCCTCTGATTTTTGATGGTTGTCTTGTTTTGTAATAGGTTTATATATGAAACAGAGCACTTCAATGGTGTTGCTGAACTACTTGAGATATTAGGAAGGTGAGTTTGATCTGACACAAAGTATAAAATGTTACTGTGGGCGTTTGCTTCAGCTTTCTTGCTTTGGGCATGGAGAGAGGGAAGAGAATTATTACAGTAATGTGTGCTGAAGTGCAGTCACTGGTACAATTAACGCTATCTGGGTTACCATGCGGGTATCAAATGAGGGTAGAGAGTTTAGATTATTCTGTTTTGGTGGAAGATGACTCTTAAAGATGACTGGCAAATACTTCTGAATGGTCCTTGTTTGTCACGAATATCTGTTCTTGCGTATCTTGTATCTGATCAGTGACTTGTTCTTTGATTCAGAAAGTGAATGTTAACTTTGGCCCTTGTGCTGAATGAGATGCTTTAACCTTCAGCAGGCTGCTTTTCTTTACATTTTATTCAGAAAAGTCTTGTAAGTGCTTGGGGGTTTTAGTTATCTTTTTTTTGACGTGGTTTCACTAATTCAATTTTTAACTTTGAAGTTTTTGTTGTAGTCTTCCACTGTTTTTCCAAAAGTGTCACATATATTTCACAGTAGAAAAATTTATAAATACTAGCGGTCTAACTGAGAATGTAAACATTGTGGAACAAATTTGCATGAAAATCAAGTGAAAGGGATACTGTTATTTTTGCAGATTTATCTAAAATGTGGGGAGAAGGGGCAGACCCCAACCCCTGAAGGATTTTTCTGATCTACTACTCATCAACTCTTGAAAATCAGATTACTGAATCAATGAGACAACTTTTTAACTTTGTTTTTGGAGCAAAAGGTTCTTCAGCAGTCTCAAGTGTTCAAACTGCACTGCTGAAGTTGTTCAAACCTGTAGGCCATCTGTCATTTTTTTAGTGACTGTGGGTGAAATGGATCGGCTTCCTGATGCATCTGTCTAAGCTTTACAATTAGACAGCAAGACTTTCCTTAAGGGAGCTCATGATAAAAATACATCTAAGTGCTCATCTAATGGGTGTTATTTGACATGTACCGTGGTTCTCTGGTGTTTCTACCAAGAGTCTACGCTTGCGTGATACCAACACTGTAAAGGTTGTGTGTATGTAGAGCTGTTTTATGGCTTCAGAGTAATCAGGTTTAGAAGTTGAATCAGAAATGGAGTGTCTCTTGAATTTGCAGAAATTCTTGACTTGCTAGGAAAAGAATATTTTTTAATAAAAATAAATCCTGCTTATTCATGTTTTCAGTATTATCAATGGTTTTGCACTGCCACTGAAAGCAGAACACAAACAGTTCCTTATGAAAGTTCTGATTCCCATGCATACTGCAAAGGGATTAGCTTTGTTTCATGCACAGGTAAGCTTTTGCCTCTTTTTAAGAGTGGTGGGGTTTTTTGTATTTATGTTTGAAACTACTGGAATGTAAAGCAGTATGTGTTAGAATATCGATATTCCAAAACATTTGCAAATTCTATCACTGTTTCTTAAAGGTCTTACAGATCTTATGCCTAAATGTTAATTTTGAGGTAGTATTTAGCATATATTAAAGTGAAAGTGAGTCAAAGCCATGTCATCTGAAGTGAGAAGCTTTTTTGCTTGCTGTCTTGTCACACTTTAAGCTTCATTTAATCCCAGAACCCTGTGCTGTTAAGATTTCCTTTATGTAACCTAATTGCTGTGTGTAAAGGAACCTTGAGTAGGGCCAGGTACTTATTTTGGAAGTGCTTTTTTTATTTCTAAAACCATACAAGAGATGGGCAGGGGATGCGAATGTTGGATATAAATGGCAGAAATGTGTAGTAGCTCTCTGGAACACAGGTAGATCCATGACACGCTGCCAGAGCGCCACAGGTCTTCATTTGCCTGCCATTCTTACACTTGGCACAGAGGCTCAGCATTTTATTTGAGGAATAATGTCTGTCCTTTCCAGACATATGGCACTTGAGTATTGAATACATTTGATGTAAACTTGCAAGCAATTCTGCTGTGGCTAATTAAAAACTTGCTTTAACTTAGCTCATGAATACAGCTCCTTATAGACTAAAGGTACAAGAAAATTAGTTTAATTAAAGCGAAATCATTATGACTATATAGACTACAATCAGGATGAAGTCAAGAGCTCAGTTGATTCCCAATTCTTACATAAAGTTTTAATTTAATTAAATCACTTGTCTCTGTGGTTTATTGCTATGCAATAGGCTGCTCCGTGGAATGAGTCAGTGATATGAGAGGGACCAGTCACTTGCCAAAGATATTCCCACTGACAGATCAGTACAGCAAGCTATGCTTTTTTTTCTATGATATGTTTAAACACCTTCATTGATACCTGAAGGGCTCCTATTAATTCAGGTGTACTGGGTACTCAAAAGTAGCGTTTGGTTTGCTGACCCAGCTACTCCTCTGTCCCTTCAGAAACTGATGCCACATGCATTGTGTGCTGCCGGTTTCCTCTTACCCTGAAGGTGTGAACCAGCATTAAATCTGCTTTGCAGTCAGGAGTGGCCTGGGTGCTTTGTTGCTACGCTACAGACTTAGCCTACCCTTGAAAGTTAAAGCCTTAAAGCTGAATGAAGTTTGAGTCTTTGTGTCTTTGAACAATACAGCGTTACTGTACAATATGTAATGGGATTTTATGAGATTAATGTGTGACAGTTGTAGTTTTTTAAATCTACGCATATGCATCCTTAGCCTTAGGGCAAAAGAAAAATTGGACCTGTTGTAATTACAGCATTGTAATTATCTGCTTTGGGATAACAGGTTAAAAAAATAAAAAGGAAAGGTGGGGTGAGCCTGGTGTCTGGGTCACGCTGTGGTTCCTCCACTTCACGCACGCTTCCAGGGGCGTTGGTTGGTGGCCATTGCTGGGGACAGGGGGTGCAGCTGGGCAGACGCTGCTTGGTCTCTTGTGGCCATGTAATACATTAAAATGCTTTTGCCGATAGTCTCAGCATTAGATGTTGCGTGCTCCACGTGTCCAGTGCTTGAGCAGTGTGTGCTCAGTCAAACCCTTCTTAAAACTTACTTTTGACTGAAAGTGTCACCCTTTTTACCCAAGTATAGATGTTTGAAAATGATAGCTTTGGACTGTTAATAGGAATTGATGTTGAGAAAAATCTGTCTGGATCCGAGTTAGGGAAATATCTGTCCAGCTTAAAAGTAATTTTCTTCCAGGATGTAAAAAACCGAAGATTTTTGGTACACAGGAAGTTTTTGTGAGATAGAGCAGGCCTGTGTATCTTTCTGCTTTAAGTGCTTTTTTGTTTAGTTTGGAAGAATTTAAAGTGGCTTTGTATCGGAGGGTTTTGAGCTGGGTTCCCCCAATCTGAAGTGCTTCCATTTTAAGTTGTGATATTTGGTTATGCTGCAATGTCCAAACAGTGTTTGCTTTTAAAACTAAATAATCCTCTGATTTACATTCTAGCTTGCCTATTGTGTTGTACAGTTCCTGGAAAAAGATACAACTTTAACAGAGCCTGTAAGTGTTTTTCAGTGGAATGTTTTTCTATTTTTAACTCCAATTAAATGTTTCAGTGTAACTTGGTAGAATTGTACAGCAGTGCTATCTGTGCTATCTTGATTAATGATCTGTAGGCCTTTGGGATGGGAATATTTTTAAATCTAGAACAGTTGCTAAGAAAATTCTGGGTTTGAAAGGGCAGTTCTCTCTTTAACCTGTGAGCAAGATACAGCACAAATTTAAATACGAGTTTGCATCACTGATATAATGCAAATTACTTGGTATGAGAAAGCATGCGACAACTGTATTCCCTCCTGGTAAGAACTAAAATGTCAGTATTTTTGGTGCTGATGGCTTGTGCCTGGCCGCTGCATAAAGTTGAAATATTTTGGGGAATAAACAATCCCAAAATACAAGTTGGAAAGAATAACACCGCTTTATTTGGACAGAAATTCCAGATGCGATGTTTCTGTTCTGCCTCTTCAGTTCCTGGTGCCTCTGGGCAGTTGCAGCCCAGGAGCTCCAGGCAGCAGTGGCTTTTGCCAGACTGAATCTGCCGTGATCCATATTGACAGCTCAGCTAAAAAGGGGTTGCAGTGCTGCATTACAAGGGCTTTGGCAATGCCCATGACGAAGGATGCAGGCTCAGGGCAGTGCAGCAGCTCACGGGGACACGGGCTGATGGCAGACCAGCTAGGACAGGAACTGGGTTTGGTCGGACAATCGGAAATCTTTCCTGTAGGGGTGTGTTGATGTTCGAATACTTCATCCCTTTTTGTGACAGAAAAATGGAAAGCTTATGCGAAATCTAAATTTTTCTGTAAAGGAAAAAGATAAGCAGCTTTGTGGAAGCAACGTAGGTCTTTGCTGGGCTGTCAGTGAAGCTTGTTTTCTGCACAGCCACTCGACTGTTGATGCTCCTCATCAGAAGCCAGGTTACTTTGTAGGTGTTGGAAGGTGGTCAGCCTGACTGTTTACAGACTTGCCTTGTCTGCTTGCCAGCTACAGTGGTCAATAAGCTTATTGTATTGGATGGGTTGAAGTAATAAAACAACCCAGGCATTTTGACAGTTAAATTTGATATGTGGGCAGGAAGTGTGTAGTAGTATGTAAAAACCTGCAAGATTGAATGAAGTGACAACGTGACCAAGTCAGAACTTCCTGATGAAATTACAGAGCTGCGATGTAGGATCCAAGCCCAAACTTTGAAGCAAGAAGGTAGGGCTTTTTGAAGTAGGAGGGCCATGGTGCAATGCTCAGACTACATCTGGATCGTAGTATGCAATTCTGGTCACCTCTTAATCAGTAAAGACGAGTTCAGGATGGAGGAGATGCAAGAACTCACTGCAGAGTCACTGCCTGTGCTTCCTTGGGTCATTACTCTGAGCATGTAGTAAAATTGGCTTTTTAAAGGAGTAAAACTTGATAAGATGATGGGAAGTGAAGCTTTCAGGAACTTCCTGAAATGCTTGTAAAGTAAATGTTAAAATCTGGGGCAACTGATGAGATAGCATTTGGATTTTTTTTTTTTGCTTTAGGTCAAGTAATATTTTCAGATGGAAGATCAGAAGGCTGTCTTCGCAAGTACCTTACTGTTATTTTTCTGGCAGGAATTGTCACTCAGGGTCAATTTAGAGGACATTCAGTCGAGTTGTTGTAAGCTATGGGAGTGTGCCTTAGGTCAGGCCTGATGTTTGCAGAGCTGACAAGAAGAGTTTGTTACCTAACCCTGCAAAAGTGCAATGGCCTTTACATGGAAGAAATCAGGCTAAACATGCAGTCCTTGTATGTAAAATAAGTCTTCTAGCAGGTGCCTACTGCTGTGAGTCACTTTATGGGAAGTTTGTGGCTCAGAGAAGAATATTAAGAGTTCTGTGTAGCAAAAGCAGCAAGATTTCAGATCTCCATTCACACAATATTTCTTTGAATAAAATCTTTGAACATAAATGTGCATGTATCAGCTTTTTAATATGAAAGCACAGTCAAGCTGGAAGCTGATACTCCCTGTGGAGCAAGGAGTAGGTATCTTGTTGAGGTCTGCACTGTTTTACTCAACATGTTATTTCTTTATCAAGTTGGGAATATGACTCTGTATAGTGAAGTGTATTCAGCACTCTTACAATAACAAGGGCTGGAAATGGGACTCTTCTAGCGACTCAATTTTATCCTTTCGAGACCAGTGGATTGATGCTCCAGTTAGGGGTACATGGTCGCTTCTCACCACTTTTCTTTGCCAAATGGACTTCTAAGCCAAAACATTTCAGACTTGCGTTGTTCTGGGGGAAGGGAAGGTGTTGGCAGAATGAGCTTTTACACCTGTAAATGTTTGGGTTCTTTAAAAATACAAATTCCCAACAGTATATAATTGAGTCATTCAGTTCTGAGCCAGTTAACAGAAAATGGCCCTAGACTTAAAGTGTATTTACACAGAGTACTTCAAATTATGAATCTAGAGAAATAAATGTAATAAATTAATGCAAGGTTGACTCCTGGAGAGTGGAGAAGCGAGTGAGCAGAGACTGCCGGATCAGGTGATTGCAGTGAAATGGGGGAGCTCAACATTTTTCCTCCCCTGCAGGCCAGGCTGCAGAACAGCCCCTGTGTGGACTGACCAGGCCGCCTGCTCCTCCATCGGGTGCCAGATGCTAGTGTTGGTATTTGGTATCTGCATCTTCCAGCCAGCGAGGCAGAACTGCACGGTCAAGGCTCCACAAGGAGTCTGTTCTTTCCTTGTAACTTGCTTGCTTTTTGTGGATGTGAGCAGAGGGCTTTGCCAGCTGCCCGGTGTTTCTGCATTTGCTCTGTGTCATTTGAAATGACGTTGTTTTGTAGTAGCAGGATGTGTGTCCTAGGATAAAGACTTGTGGGTACTTAAAATCATATTAACTTTTTCTTTGGAAAGTCACTTGTGATAGTACACACAGTTGGGAATAAAACCACCAGCTGGGAAGCTGGGGAATAAAAAAATCCATCAGATATGGGAGGTATTCAAATGGTTGAAGAAGTTTTAGAGTTGGGTATGATCAATTAGGTGCTGCTGTGTCATAAAAATAGAGGTCTTTTCCTTATAATGAAAGTTGATATGGCTCTGAGAATGTTTCAGAAGCAGAAACACAGGGGTTTTTTATTATTATTTTGTAAATTTTATTTTAGGCAGCATTAGTTTTGTGATTTAGCAGCCATGGCAGCTGGTTGTTTCTAGGCCACGGGCCCCCACTCTGTTTGTTGTGTTCTCCCCTGCCTCTGGGGGGCTGTACTTGCTCATTGCATTTCCCAAAGGCTTTTTTCCTGTCTTCTCATTTCGTGACACTTTGATGGTATCAGCAGAGTGTGAACAGACAATCACAGGTTTGGGAAGGGGTATTCAGTTTTCATCAAATATCTGGAATAGGAAAAGCAAACTAGTTTGGGTTTGGTTCTTTTTTAAAATCGTATCAAACGTAATAGGAACTTGTTCTGCTTTAACTTGTTTGTACTTTTAATATAGGTCATCAGAGGACTGCTCAAATTTTGGCCAAAAACTTGCAGTCAGAAAGAGGTTGGTTTTGTTTCTTGCTCCTTGTGTGTGCTGTGGTGTGAAATGTAGCATGGCAGGTTCACCTGCTTTACTTCTGCTCTGCTTTTCAAGATACAGAAAACTTGCACCTCTTGAAGGTTCGTGAGGTGCCCATTTTTGTTATGCAAGGCAATGCAACTACTTAGTGTTTCTGTTCTTGCTGTGGTGTTACTATGTTAAAACTGTATTAAAAGTTGCATTCTAATGAAAGATACTGGATGGAGAAAGTCTTCTGAGGTGAGAAGTATTTGAGTAGATACAGACCGGGTTGGAGGTGCTTATCTGCAATGACACACACGTAGCAATTGAGTATCTGATAGAGCATACCTACATCCAGTGTTATAAGAGTAACTTTAAATGGTCTTGGGAAATTATTTTTTTCATGTTTCTTCTACATAGTTAAAATGAATGTAAAAACCAGCAGTTTGATTTATGCCACCAGATCCCACCCCCCAGTAGCTCTTTAAAAGTGGGGTCCCTTAACACTGTTGTCCTGTTTGTGTGTCAGTGGTGTTAAATTTTTCTGTGTCACCTACCCGGTGTTCTGCTGGTTGTAATTTCAAACAGGAATTAACTATTTAGCACTTCAAAAGCTGCTCTGGAGATCTCTGATAATGCAGAGTCTCTGGTAACATCTGCAGCCATTCTTGAAGAAAGAAAACATTCTAATAAAAACCCATATTCAGCAGTGAAGTGTTTGGTGCAATTACACAAAAGAAGAAATGGAGGATGAGAGCCGTAACCTGGGAGCTGAGGTGGCGATTGACTTCTTTCAGGCTGCAAAAAACCCAAGCGTGTCTGATGCGTTGCGATGACACGCAGTGTTCCTTGCAGGGTTCATGACTGATGTATAAACCCTCTTTTGTTTCTGTTTACAGTGGCAATATAAAGCGTGCTCATGCCTTTTGCTGTATTTCTTTTTATACAAACAGGTGATGTTTTTAGGTGAAATTGAAGAAATCTTAGATGTAATAGAACCGACACAATTCAAAAAAATAGAAGAGCCTTTATTTAAGCAAATATCCAAGTGTGTGTCAAGTTCACATTTTCAGGTAAAAAAAAAAGGCATAAAAAACCAACTTGTAGCAATTTATTTTGCGGTGGTTGACCCCTAAACTTTGTGTTTCAGGTTGCAGAAAGAGCTTTGTACTTCTGGAATAATGAATATATTCTCAGCCTGATCGAGGAGAATATTGATAAAATTCTACCAATTATGTTTGGCAGTTTGTACAAGATCTCCAAAGAACACTGGAATCCGTATGTCATGTTTTACTGTATCTACAGTGCCACAAATAAACTGTCCACTGTTTCAGGTTTGAAATGCAAGCTTGTAAATGTGATTTCGTTTTTACTCAAATCAGGTGAAATTGGTGAGATACTGGGTGCTAAAAAGGACGTCACTTCTACCCCTGTCACACTTTCACTGTTCTGCATTGCTATGATGGAGAACTGCAACTGAAAAAGTGGGAGGAAGTTGGATGATGGTCTTGATACTGTAATCACATTTGATCTTACAGGCCAGTTAAAAATGCAAAGGAATGCTACTTAGACCAAAGCGATTGCTAAGGGATGCTGCTGCTGCATCTGCGCTTTGGTGGCCTTTACTGCTTCAGATGAGCAGAATTATCTCAGTGCCTTCACAAGCGGTTGTTGCTGCCCAGTGAGATAGGAGGGGAAAAGCTACTGTTGGAGAAGAGCAGTTCCCTACCACTATAAAGGATGGTGAATGAGTAAGAAATGAGTGACTACTTCATTTACATGTAATGCCACAGGTTAAATATTAGTATTTGTACATCATGTTTGAAAGAAGTAGTAATTACATTGAAATACTAAAAAGCAAAATTTGCTTGCATCCTGCAAAGTTCATTTGCAGAACATAAATTTTGCACAGGCAAATGCCAGGGTAGGCCAGAGCCTCTCACAGCTCTGAAGTAAATGAGATGTCCAATTTTAAGCCCTTAGAGGCTCTGAAGTGATTCTACATTTCTCCAGGTGGTGTGTCTAGTTGGACACGTGTCAGCTGAGACAGAATAGAAATTTTGGAGTAGTTCTAGGAGCATTAGTAGTACTTGGGACCTCCAGAAATCTGAAGGATCTCCCTCTTGCCCTACCTGCAGGCAGAAGGTGCTCCTTGTGAAGAACTGTGTAACTTCAGAACCAGAAGTTTGGAGAAGAAAGTCTAACCCTTTGGTTTTAATATGTTTTGGAGAGCAGAGAAATGTGCTTATTTCCATCCAGCTCTCCAATATGGACTTAACTGTTGGCTCAAAATCAGGCTTTTCCTCTCAGAAAATCAACCCCCCAAATAAGCTGTTGTCTTCAAACACATGAAAGCCAGTGTTTAAAAACAAAATAAGGTGTGCAGACAGGCTAAGTGTACTGTGCATGTTGAGCGAGCGTAGCGCCTCTGCTGAGCAGCTGGGAGACCTCCTAGTGCCACAGCGGACAGAGCAAAGGCAAAACCTGGCCTTTTGGATACTTCCTTAGATTTTTCTTTCGCTCATTCTTCAAGGTCCCAAGGCTGCGCAGTGCCCCTGCTCCACAGCCCTGCAGTCAGTGAAGGTGGACTGATGGGGAAGACAGCTTACCTGCTTTTTTAATTAGTGATAAGCTTAACAACAGACACCTTTTAAATGTTTATTATTTTTGTGTGGGCTTAAAGGAGATAACACAGTATTTAAGATAATTTATTGAAATATGAAAGCTTTCATAAAAAGAAGAGTAATGCCTAATGGGGAAATATGGGGAGCCACGAAAGACACAGCCAGCACTGCCCAAGCTGTTTGGATTCTCAAAGAAACTGAGGTACTGAAAACCGTGATCTGACATTCTCAATTCAGGACTCAAACAGGGATGTGCAGCAAAAGTCCCTGCTGCCCAGAAATGCTTCTGGTGGAGCTTTTAGGAGGTGTATTAAACCATGTCCATGTGGTTCTGCTTTTGCCCAGTCCTGACGCTATTAGCCAGAAGTTTATTTTTCTAGACTCTCTTATTTCCTTACTCAAATATTACAAAATTATTGTTAAAACTAAGTTTATTAAATACTGACATAATTAAATGGCTTTATAGTGCAACCACAGTACCAATAACTATATCCTGTGCAATTACAAGAGTTGCGAATTTAAGGTTAAACACCCACTTCAAAAAAAGCTTAAATACGCATTTTATTAATTCGCAGAGGAAACCACAGTAAAGGATTTTGTTTCGGAAACTCACTGAACTTACAGTAGTATCTTAAATAAGAAGCTTGGAGTCCAAAAAAGAAGCTGAACACTTGATCACTGAGGTGAATTTTGTGTTAATTGTAACGGTTGTGTTCCTTCTGTTCCAGAACCATTGTGGCACTGGTGTACAACGTCCTGAAAACCCTGATGGAGATGAACGGCAAGCTTTTCGATGAACTCACCAGCTCGTATAAAGCAGAAAGGCAAAGGTACTGATTTTTCTTCCAAATGCCTGTTGATGAATTCTTATCTAGACTGTACCAGCTTAAAAGAAACAAAACTGTTGTGGCTGCGGGGCTCTGTAGTGGAACCGCTGCTGCAAGGGGGCACCCGGTGCTGGCTCTGCTGCTTCAGGGGGTGTTTGAAGAAAGCTGAAAACACTTCCTAGCTCAGCCAAAAACCTCCCTCTTATCCCACTACCTACTAAGCAGCCCTGCTGGAGAAAGGGAAGCAGTGTCTACGTTATCTCTGGCCAGCTGAGACCACATGCAAAGTCTCCTTTCAGTAGTTGTGCTTCACTCACCACAGATGCTGAGACCCTTAATTTGCTCGCACGTGATAAAGAACGTCCTTAAAACTGCAGTCCTCTGTGCAAAGCCACCCTACAGCAATTGGCTGAGTCTGGAGCAAAGTTACAGCTTGACCACTAACCATTACCAGCTCATAGGCTTGCTTTTTCATAGAGGAAACTGCAGTTGCCTCCAACATAGCTTTGGAGGAAAAACTTGCCGAGGAATTACTAGGTGTAAATCACAGCTGTTAAGTAACTGCAAGTGTGAAATTGATACTTCACTCTTTTCTACAGAGAGAAAAAGAAAGAATTGGAACGCGAAGAGTTGTGGAAAAAGCTCGAGGAGTTAAAGCTTAAGAAGGCAATGGCAGAAAAGCAGAACAGCACTCACAACGTGCTAAATGCACACAATCCAAGTGCCAAATAAAAGAAATGACCACCTCTACACGGCAGACACGCTTTTTTGTACCCTTTTGAAATATATAAGGATTTGCAAAAGAAACCTCATCAGTATAATAGAAACAGCCAACTTTTTTCTCTGGCAAATGTAAAGATTTGAATTTAAATACAGCAGGTCAGTGATGTCATTACCACAGCATATTGTAAATTTGTCTAATTATTGATATACTGTCACTTCCAGTGTTTCATGGAACTGAATTATCATCCTTAATGAGTGAAATAATTACGGGAGTGGTGAGAATTATGACTTGAATTTTTGATTGTGTTGCACATAGGTGGTATAGTTTGCTATGTACATTTTTTTCCTTGTTTTGTGCTTTTCACATCGCTGCATACTTCGGTTAAGATGATAGAAAAGGCTTCTAGTTGTGCTGTATTTTCTCAAATAAAAACAAGGTACAGTAGCAGTAACTTGAGCTATTCAGTATGTGCCCCTTACAGCATTGAAAGGAACTTGGATGTGGTGTCCTTTAAATCCAAATCCAATCAGGCATTTGATTTCTAAAATGCTCTCATTGGAATGAGGCAAAGCAGGGAGAGGAAGTCAGCTGGAACAGCCTGGGGTGGTCCATGTGGCTGCCCCCTCACTGGGTGAGTGCTTCTGCCCTGTTCCCACTGCCCCTTGGTCCTGGGCTGCTTAGAGATTTCCTCCTGCTGCAGCTGAGGATGGAGCTGCCTCGAGAGCCCATCAATGATGCTCCTCATCAGCCCAAGGACTCTCTGCAGAGTAGGGCAGGGCTCCAAGAGATTATTGTGAATGTTTCTGCATTAGTTTTCGCATCTCATGGACTAAAGAATGAGACCAAAATTGGGATTTGGGGGTTGTTTTTTGGTTGTTGGTTTTTTTTGTTTGGGTTGTTTTTTTCTGAGGAGGGAAGGTTGTCAGTAAATGGCTCCTTGTTTTATGTAAAGAAAATGCAGTCTGTTTCTTAAAGGCAGAAAGTTGACAACAGAAGTCTTGTCTGTTTACTTGATCAAGTATTTTTCACATCTTTTATCAGAGTACCATTCCAATCTCTTAAATTGCAGTTGTGTGGAAAACTTTTGTAATGAAAGATCTTTGGGGAATTGAGCAGCATTCAATAAAGTCTTTATGTTTGTATTTAGTGCTGTATATCACATCTTTGTGTTTATAAAGCCCAGGAGAATTAGAATGGCTTTTATAAACAACCTTGGAACTGCACGTGTGTCTCTGAATAACCTGTGGCTTTTTACCAAGTGGCAAAAGCAGTGGAGGGAGGTGACTGGCATGCAGACACACGTTACCTCAGTTTAGTACCTTCATGCCTCTTTCCAGAAGAATAAAGCCCCTAATTTGAGATTAGAAATATTTCCAGCTATCCTACAGTCTAATGGAAATAAATTATACAGATGTCAGGGAATTTAACACTTACCTTGCAGCAGTACAAAGAACAAATTACTGCTGTTTGTAGTTATGAATTGTTCCAAAATTTATAAATACAGACAGCAAGAGTACCACAGTAGCTGTAAGAAACCATTTCAAACTGTGCAATACTCACTACTAGAATCACTCCTATAAATAGGAATGGGCTGCTCTAGTAACATTGCCTTAGAAAACAAGGAATTGTGACAGCTGAGATTGACTGAAGTTGACTACTAGGGGAATTTGTTTTTTTTTAGAAAAGTACATTAACTACTGCAGAAAAGAGTGCATCCTTCATTTAACCACGCCTCTTACTTAACCTGAGGCTGGTGCTAAGTTGTCTTCAGCTTACCTTCTCTGACCTCATTAACAAAAAAATGAAAAAGGCTGTAGGATGCATTAATTCGAATTTTCTCTAAATGTTTCCATAAAATCCAAGAAATAGCTGCTGTAGTATCATTTGTTAAAGGAACACTTGGGTGTTTCTTTACCAGCGAGGAGTTAAGAAAGCTCAGTTGTCACTGTCTTACCTGTAGAACAGGCCCTCAGCAGTGCACTGGGGAGCAAAGGGCTAGAAGTCATGGGAAGGCAGCGGAACCCCTTCTTAGCAGCATAGGCTGTTACATAGCAAAACCAACAGCCATGTTCTTGAGACAAATAATGGTCTAAGCATGGTGGGTTTATTCCCTCCTTTTCCCCCTCTATTTCTCCCCTCATCCCAAGTTTCTGTTCCATTCCCCAGCACCTTGGGATGAAGGAGCTCTCAGACAGTTTGCTTCAACCTCTGTGCTGCCTCTGTGCCTGCAGCCACTGCTGCTGCTTTGTTTTTTTTCTTGCTGTAGTGAATTGTTGCTCTCTTGTTTAAGGCAGTGTGTGCTCTGGAAAGCAGCTGAAAGTAGTACGTTTAGTTCCAAAATGCTTCCTTGGAAGGCAGAAAAAATTAATCAAAAAATGAGGTGGCACTTTTGATATACCTACTACTCTATTCATGCTCTGTTTTGGAGGGTGGAAAAAGCAAACTATGACTTGGTGTGCTCCTTCCCTTGCAACAAAGCCTTCAGAGCAAACACACAGTGGTGCACTGCTGCCCTATAGACTCCACAAGCCTGAGCTTGGCATCTAGACTAATAAGGGATGGACTTACAAGGAAGAAAGACTACACTGTGACAGCACACTCGGCACGTGTTTTCTATATAATAATAATCACATTTAAACACCAGGCTGATGAAAGATTGTTTTTCACTTCCTAAGCAGAGACTGGGAGAAAGAAGGATGAGACAGACTTTGAAATCTATCATCAGCTCAGATGCCCAGGTATTGAGTTGCCTGAGTTTGCTCTGAGCTGGACTGATCAGGAATAGATTTCTGATCTTCACCCTGTCTTCTTGCAGTGATACTCCTGCCTGGTCTACCTCCTGTAAAGCTCCAGTTGAATCTGAGAGCATGCAGTTTCAAAGAACATACACAGTATCTTATTTGAAGTATTTTTTTAATATTAAAGTTACTATACTTTAAAAACAAAAGTGACATGTAATAGAGTTCCAGTGTATTTTGTTTTAACACATATTTAGGAGAGGGGAGGCCAGGCTGTTTTGTTGAGTGCTTCACCTTCCACTAAACAGTCAAGGAAGCATCTGCATTAGGGTAGCAGATGTAGGTCGTAGCTCACGCAGAAGTTAAATGGTCTCCTGTTCTGAGAAGCATTCAAACACCATCCATTTTTAGTACTTAACCACTAGAGTGTTGACTTTCTGAACATCAGTGAATTGTCGCCTCTCCCCTGGTCCCTCAATGTACTGAGGTAAGCTTGTTAAATTTGGAATAGAAAAGCGTGAGTGAGTTAGACCTGTCCTAGTGTTAGCTCCTTTCTGAAGTTCAAAGGCCAGTTTTCACTAGGCTGTTGTTCCAGCCGTGTTTTTTCTGGAAGAAAACATACCTGGTTTGCATCTTTAACTGCTGCATTGCTGATCCAAGTGTATTCCAGTTATTTTCTATCCCTTCTGCTATGAACAGTTAAAAGGCAGTCTTAGTCTCAGCTTATGTGGTTCATTACTTGACTCCTCCTCTTCAGATGTCTCTTTCGGATTTTGATCATCCACTTAACGCTTAGCTTTGCAAAGTCTGCTGCTTTAAACAGAGCCAAAAAGATTCCACAAAGAAGAGCAATCATGTTCCAGGGATTTGCTGTGACAATCTGAAAGATTAAAAATATTATTCCCTCATCTGATTCAGCATATGTTATACCTATTTCAATAGCAAACAATTCCACTTTTCAAACAACAGAAGTGTTTTGCACCATATTCCTTTATGCTGCAAAGGTGGCCTGTGGTGCCTTCCCCCACACACCTGCCTCCCAACACCATGGTTTTCTGATTCCTTCCATCAGGAGGAAAACACACTGCTAAATTCCTTCCGAACTATTTTAGGATATTGAATTGTTTGAAACTTCAGAGATAACAGTTAAATTGCTAATTTTAAACTTCTAGATTAAATTTATTATTTAAAGATTTACAGAAATAAGCAGTCACATTAAAGAAGATCTCCCAGAAGACCAAGCTAAAAGAAGTAACTACTGGGAAGCTTTAACAAGGCAGCATTGTAATTCTAAAACAGCTTTTGCCAGAGGGAATTGTTTCTGCAAACCTATAGCAATTATTTTATCTTTCTACTTTTAACTCCAGTTGGTTCAAGAGTAGTTCCATTTCTGTAGAGTTTGCAATTCCCCTCACACCTTTAGGCACAAGGATGACTTCTAGGATCTCTGATGAAGCAAGCAGAGCTAGGCTTAGGCAGCAATAACGTAGCACATGGTTTTGGGACTTGCCATGGGGTCTGCAACTCTGATGGTGGGTGTGAGCACAGTGTCACTGGGTCACCACTGGAGCCAGGAGGTCCTCAGCAGGTTTTCTGTATTTGTTAATCTTCCTGAAAGCAGCAGCACTGGCTGCCAGTGCTCATGAACAGTGACCTCTGCAGCAAGAGGAAACAAGCACCTCCGAGCCACTGGACCAAGGGCAGCTTTCAACCCAAAGGTGGCAGAGGTGTGAACCCCACCTGGCAGAGGTGCCAGGAATGGGACTGGGCTCTCCAGGCCAGAGAGGCACCTGTGCTGAGGAGAGGGCCTGGCCCCAGCACAGGCACAAGAGCAGGAGTGCCAAGGCCCAACTACCAACTCCTACCTGCACAGTCTGCAGTCATGCTCTAGTCTGGGGCAAGAAAACAAGAACTCCACGGATTTTGCTGGTGATGGACTTTGGCTGTCAGGTAGGGCCATTTTAAATGCACAATTTTAAACAGGTTGTCTTTGCATATTTTGCCATTCTGCATTTTTCTGAGAAGGGCAAAAGTATCTGATCTCCTTCCCTCAAAAGGAGGAGAGGAAGGTTTAGGAGGTTTTCTTTTCCTCAAGGAAAACAAGATCTAGCTCACATGCTTAAAGCACACCTACCCCCAGTGCATGCCTGCACGCTTTTTAAGCGCTCTGGTGACTGACAGTGGTCGTGCCTGGCACATCATATGCCTCTGGCTGCAGCATATTGAGCTAAATTTTAAAATGCTTTTTGTGCATTTGGACGCACTACCAAATTCTATTCTAATAGTGGATAACAATATACACTAGGCTATTTTTATTATTCTGAGTTAAGACTAGGTTTCTTGCATGTCAATTAATAAAAAAGTCATTAAATTGGTATATCCAAGCACAGTAAGAAAAAGGTTCAGACTTGATCTGCAGCTACATTTCACTAGAGGACAGGGGCCGCAAGCTGCTTCTTAGCTACAGGTATCTCTCACTGCAAACAGAATGCTCCGTGTCAGTAAGCCGAGGAAAAGGCATCTGGTGGTCCTGACCTCTGCAGAACTTACACTACTGGACAGAAGGAAGAGTCTAAACTGAAATTTCAGAAGTAACCTTACTCTTCCTCTGAATTTCTGCTTGGAGTGAGCTAACAGAGGCACATGCACACACACAAACCATAGGCATGTACATTGGACAACAATTTGACTGGCGTTACTCACATCTTGAACGGTCTGTATAAAAGGATCTTTCCATTCGAATACCACAAAAAACAGCTGGTCATTTCTTGACTTAGTTCTCTGGTCAATGTAGTTAACCACGCTAGTCTGGACAGAGGGGAAAAAAACCCGAAACACACAGATTATTTTTTTTTCAGTGGTGTAACGTGTCTTTTGTGCAACAGAAAAGGCTTGTAAGAAGGTGAAAAGAGCAGACTGCTTAGGGACTTCCAATTCAGGCTTCCTCTAGCTGGAACAACAGGCTCCCAAAGTATGGAAAGGGACGTTTCCTCCATCTATCATAAGTTCTTTTCTTATTTCTCACTTCGGAAACCACTGCAATACTCTTTTTTTATGCTGGTAGACAGGCCCTTTATTTTATTACACAGTTTTTCCCCTTTCAAGGGGTGAAATTTCATTTACAAAATTAATTTACTTGGAGTAATACTGCATTTGCAAAGTTCTCACAAATGAATGCTACATTACTTTTATTTACCAGAGAACTTCACAATGGTGGCAGGAGGACTTTTTTTGTTTTAAATCGGGTATAGAATAAACTAGTTTGTTCTAGGAAGTGCGGAATGAAAATGGAAGGGAAAGAAGCCCAGATGTTAACAATTTAAACACTGCTTCCCAGTAGTGCCCATTACCTAGGTTACCATTTAAAGCTAGCGTGATTTCACCAGGGTACAGTTCAGGATACCAGATCAGCATTACAGCCACATGAAACCACAGTCTTAAGATCCACATTTGGGAAAGTATTAAAACATCAGGCCTCAGAAGAACATTCACCTTGTGTCACACCACACCCTCCAGTGCAGAGGGGAGCTACTCGGGGTTGCACTGACCCCCCCCCCCAACCTCTCCACTAGGAGACAATATAGACTGCTCAAGAGCCAGACAGCTTCCTAACAGGTGAGCACACCGGCGTTACAGCTGAACAGACCATGGACAGACTGCTCCCTTCTCCCAGCCTCAAAGGAAGATGTACAACTATAGACATGAAAACAGTGATTCAGCAGACATCGTCTGAGAGCTGACCAGCTACAAAACCCTTCTGTCCTCTGTGGCTTAGTTCCTTTACAAATACTTAAAGATTTCTGTAGGTCTTCTCCACATGCCCTGCCCTGATGATATTTTAGGCTGTGAACATGCAGAAGCAGGAGCTCAGACGCTGTATGTGTCCATTCAGAGCATATGGGAGCTTCACCACCTCATGTTTTCTGGTCAATCACCTTTGCTGCAGACTTACTGACCCTATACTTCTACAGCTCGTTTAGTTATTGCAGCACACCATCACCCCAGCTACACTCATTCAAGAAAACCACACCAGGAAACAAACAGCACACAAAGCTAAATGAAGGCAATGGAAAAGAAAAGACAAAGTAATGACTACTGGGCTGGTTGGCAGACTGACTGTGCCATTTGACCCAATACTTGTATCCACTTTCTGGTATGGCATCTCCCGGTTTTAAAATTGAGAGGCCAATGCGCTTCCTTATGCAATTTGAGCAGACGTACTGTCAAACAAAGCGAGTGCAATTTATGTCTGACCTGTTTCAACTTCTACTATATTGGTAACAGGGAGACAAAACAAAAAGTCACATTTGTACCAATTCCTATTTCCTAGGTTTTATAAAAAAAACCAAAAGAACAACCACCCACCCACAAAACAAAACAAACAAAAAACCTACACAGAGTTCACCTACCCAAATGATTGGAGTCCATACCTGCTGGACTAAGTTGATGTTTATAGTCACAAAAAGCTCAACTTTTTCCGAGTCTGAGTCAGCCTTTTGTTTCCTCTTTGAAACTCATGAGACTTGGGCACACAAAGGAAGACTTTCAAAAATCCTCCACTAGCCAAGTGCCAAACAGAAAGGGATACAGAGCTCTAGGTGATGACAGACTGACAACTGCTGTTAGCGCTTACGTGGCAGCTGCTGACTGATGCATCCTCTGCTCTTCAAGCTAAGGTAGTAGTTTGAGACTTGCACCTCTTTTGGCTTTGCCTCCTGTCCTCCGCCAGTGGAGCAAGAGGAGACTCACCTCACAGACACAGCTCTGCTCTTCTCTTAAGGCTTTGCCATGTAGGTCTTAAGTGTGAAACTGAAGATTCTGCTTCAGTTTGATCTCCACAAAGTACTCTTTCCACATGTACCATGGACTAAGACCAAGTGTAGTCTCTGAAACATACACTCTCTGGAAAGGACTGCTCTTAAAATTCTCATTTCTCACTACTGAGGAGATGCCTCCTCTCCAACCAACACTGGGAGCAAGATAGCAAACTCAAAACACAATTATTTTCCTGTCCATCAGTGTGAACAGAACGGGAATGGAAGTCAAGCTCATTTCATCTCTAGCTAAGTTTGCATCTTCCATCTACATATTTTCTAGTTTTAAATGATGCAAGAAGTTAAGTTACTCCATCTTTCTAAGGATACTCAACAGCTAAAAATCCCAAACCCAAACAAAAAGCAGACATGAGAATGCTACAAAGGATACAAGGCTTATGCTTACCTCTTCATCCTAGCGTCAGCCCTCGTGGCAACCTAAACAACACCTCTTTCCAATATTTAGACAATTCCTTTGGCAATTTTTCCTCACCTTGAGCTAAATTAGCTGTGTTAATATTTCTATGTCAGGCTTTTTGGGCCCTTCCCTCAGACTACAGGTGTCACTTACAACACATTCAAGGCTTAGATTTTCTGGCCTCCCTATTAAGAGGTGTTTTCCTGAGATGTGTCACTAGGCCACACCAACAGCCGCGCACATACCAACATCTGCACTTCTACAGAACCTCTCCATGTTAAGAAACAATGCAAGTAACTGTACAGCCAAAACTGCTCAATGGCAAGTGGCACTTGGATGCAATGAAATGAAAAACAAGCTCCTGATGTTTCACTTACTTAACCAGCCAACCCACCCGTTTTCCAACTCATAATGCTATTTGCCCCAAAGAACTTGTTCTGTTGGCCAGTTATCATTAAAATCAGGGCAGCAACTAGTTTTCAATAAACTAAGAGGTCCCAAAAAACTCTTTCCTAGTGGTTTCTTTTGGGTTTGGGGTTTCGTTTTTTGGGGGTTTTTGTTGTCGTCGTTTTACCTCTTGCTTGAATTCAACAGTCTCACTACCATCTTCTTCTTTTGTTTTCACCAAGGACATCTTGACCCAAGTTCGAAAGCCTCCGGAAAACTTCCAGCTGGAGTATGAACTTTCACAGTCCTTCATGAATTCTGCTTTTTCTGGACTAAAGGAAAAAGACCATTACTTTACCGACCAAACTCAGAGCAGTATCTGACCACCGTAGGCAGGAGAACGTCAGACCTATAGACACTTCAAAACACATTCACAACCCCTTTCGTGTTTCAACTGCTAAAATTCAGCGTATCTAAGCAACTGTTAGTAGTGACATTTTGATTAATGGCAGCACTTGCACTTATGTGTCCTTAACCACAGCAGACTTACCTGGTGCCCTTCTACCCTGGAGTCCTCTCTGCCCCTAGGGACTGTTCTGCCTTACCGGGGAGCTTTGTTCTGCTCTTCTGTCACCTCTGGGACAGAAAAGAAGAGAGCCAGGGCCCCAGGAAATGGTGTGCCACAACGCTCAGAAGCGGAACAGCCTAAAGGCAGGGCAGGCTGCTTCACCCCATTTCTGAGATGCAAATAAGCTGGTTGCGATGCAGACATACTTAAAATGCTTTGAAATTTACATTTAGCGTATTCCTACCATTTTGGGGACACTATACCTTTGGTGCAAAGGTCCCATCCGCAATAACATGGCTGTTTTCTCAACATGCAATCACAGGTACTTGTAACCCCAGAACAGCTGCATTGCTTTGCCTTTTTTTTTTTAATTCTGTGACCATAAGCCATTTTAAGGCTTCCAATACTCCTCACACTGCAAGCAGTAAAGAGGCAGCTCTAAGGCATATCTGGTGTCCATCCTGTCTCTACCAACTGCACAAGACACAGTGTATTAACCATGCTAGATCCTCAGTACTGTGATTTTAGACGCTTTTGTGTATCTCTGTGAAATAAACCTGGCCCTGCAGCTACTTTTTCGACAGCGTTTCATTTGAGATGTAAAGGTAAACCACTGTGATGAGTCATGAACCATTAAAGCACAGACTGCTGATTTTTACTGAAGATAGATTTCAGGTTGCAGAGATATGTTGGGATATGCTGTTCCTTGAGACAAGCGAAAGGAAAAGGGTTTTGACTCAGATTAAATCCATCTGCCTAGATAAAGGGCAAGAATATAGTTTGCTCATATGGCAGAGGTTGTGCATGGCTAGGTCTGTTGGAAAATTAGGGTATTTTGGTCTTTCAAAGAGAGATGAGAAGTAGTGAGGAAGAAAAGCAGAGCAAACTCTTTTCCCCAAGAACAGACCAATCGGGAGGACTTGTCCTATATCAGCACTGGGTGCATTTGTATTTTTCCTGTCTTTTTCCTTAGTTTTCAGAACTAGGGCTCCTTTTCTTCCTGCAAACTAAAATGTCTTGTCTACAAGGCAACAAGAGCATAGACTGATACAAAGAATATCATACTGATGGCCACTCTGTACTATACTTTCTGCTCAGGCTTAATAGATTAACATGCACATGTTGGTAGGAAAGCAAAACCTAGCAAAGGCATTGCTCTCAAGTCAGGGCTTCAGGTGGTGAGCTCAAACACAGAACTCCATTGTGCATACAAACAGAAAGGAGCAGCATTTCTGGAAAGCAAAGCTAACACACTTTGCTGCCTACCAAGACAGATGATACTCCAGGAGTGTTTTAGCAGGTTAAGAATATCTTTACAGATTTGTAACATTAGCTGCTCGTTTAGTGATCCCAACAGGAAGGCAGTGCACCTCTCAATCCTCACAAGCAAGACATCAGCAAAGCATCAGTACAAAGCCCACTGCCTGACTGCCTCTCACCATACAAACCAGTGACATAGGGAGATTTAATATGCCCATGATTTCTCCACCCTTCGGTATGTGGCCACAGCAGCAGCTGATGGAACAGTATAGAAGAGCATGGTGCTTTGCCACTCAAAGGAACATACATAATTAGCACTCTGCCAGCCAGTCATATGCCTAATGCCTGACTAAATACAGCATCCCCGAAAAGCTTTCCAAACCAACATGGAAAACTGAGGCAGGAAGCTATGACACAGAGCTGAATGTTACAGCCACAACTTACACGGTAAGCAGACGGCAGCAGTGTACTTTGCCTTTGACAGTAATTGTAGGCTTGGAAAAGAAAGATTAATAACATCTTAGGAGAAACTGCGGAGAAGTGATCTGAGAAGGCATCTCCTTGCATGCGCCCATAATTCAGACCACTGCCACAGAGTCAGGAAAAATAAGGAGGGCAGAGGGAGCAGAGCAGAGAGGCACAAGCTTTGCTCAAATGACAGCAGAGCACAAATAATGCAGCTTAAAAACTTCACACAGCTAAGTGAACACAAGACAGGCAAGGGATTTTAAACCGAAGAACAATTCTCCAGGCAGTTTCTTATAATTCTCTCTTCACAAAGACAGACGATCTGCAAAGGCTGCACTTTTTCTGTTTTGGTTTGGCTTTTTGTTCAGTAAGTTCTTCCACCCATTACACTGTCCTTCAGACGTATGGTAAGATTCCTGGAATACTCTGCACCAGGCTCTCCCAAGATATTAATGGTACCTCAACGCTACCCCAGTTCTCGACTCGGTTCTAAAACTGCAGTGGATCCTTCTAACACTGATCCTTATGGACCGACCCACAAGAGCCAGAGGCAGCTTAGGACGTCCCACCAGCAAATTCCAACGCAACAGCAAGAGCCAAAACTGGGTCAAACTCCATTTGTGTTTATGGCTTTTGCTCTTCCCTAGACTGGAAAACTCTCACACAGCCACAGGATCTCATAAAGGGTCAGACGGTTTAGTAGCAAAACTCTCAGCCCTTCTACGTTATAATTTATTTCTCTGCACGCAGCAATCCAGATCAAAGACATGAACATGGAGCTCTGTTTAGACCCTTGAATAATCTCTGATCTGTTCAGATGCTATTCATCATCTCACATGATCGTAAGTTATTTTACATGCTACACTAACAATAGTTTTGTCGGTAGTATGTTCAGAGGATTTTCTTCTTAAACTCATGTATTATACTAACAACAGTTCAAGAAAGGAACTTGTATTTTTAGCTACGCTTTCTTAATAGTTTGCAAGGGTTTCATTATTTCCTACCCTCCAATTAATATGGCCCAGACAGCAGCTGCCACTGTTTAAAAAGAAGAAGAAAGCCAATGGCAGTATCCCTCCAACTCACAGGCCAACAATAGCACACAGTTCAGCAGTGTCCTGTGAAGGCCAGAACAAACCAAGCAGTGCCAGTTTCACGTAGTCTGTCGATCCAATTTTATCTGAAGAGCTGCAGAGAATAAAACCTTTGACAGAAACAACTGGACCTTACTTAAGTGAGTCCCAACCACTTGCCATGCCTCAAAAAACCCTTAAAAGACATGTCTCCAGATTCCATTTTTATAATTGCTTATGGTTGATGCTAGCAGCAGCCTTCACTGATACGATTATTGCTATTTAAAGCAAAGATGAGCTGCACAGAAACTATAGTGTAGATACAGCAGGACTCCTCTCACCAGTTTCAAGGGGTTCTGGATTGTGATTTAATATGATGGAATACCCTACACATATATTTTACAGCAGTCTGCCTGCCCAGCCCAACCTAAGCTGTTTGCAACCACGGCAAAAAACTGTAAAGGTAAATATATCTCATGAGTTCTAGCATGTATCTCAGCATCTTTGATCACACTTTATGGGAATTGCTGAACACAGTGCTAATAATAGGCTCTCATAACCAGTGAGACACTTTGTCAGGAGAAGCAGTTAACCACAGCCAGTAACTGAAGTTTTTAGAGGCCGTATGGAAAGACAAAATTTGCCTTGTCAGTACACAACAGTTTCTACAGATATCTTTGTCCAGACTTCCCACCAACTAAATTTAGCATCCACTGAGGAACCAGAAATAATTTCTATTTTGTCTTCTGCTGGCATTTGGACAAAGTGAGTACTTTCCACATAGGAATGCAATTTCACATGCATTATGCCCTGAGCCTCCAATTCATGCTCCAGGACGCCAGGACAGCAATACACAATATTGAGCAAGACAAGCTATACCATTTTTACCAAGCTTTGGAGAATGCTATAAAAGAACACAACTGGTTCTCTTACTGTATTTCACCTAGACATGCAGATCATTTACTACTAAGTTTTAAGACCTACATACCTTTGCCCATTTTACCATTATCCAAGTTAGTTCAAAACCAGTTTTAACTCGCATTCCTATTACCAAATGGGCACAACAGATGCATCCCCAAACAGACACCGTCATTTCCTACATTTTCACTTCCAAACATAACCCAGGCTCAGCCTTCACTCTCCCAGCTTCTGTTCTCGTGCCTTCCAACACTGAGACAAGGCAGTTTCTCTAGGAACAAAGTGATACTTCCCCATCTCTTTGGGAGTCGATTCTGCCATCCAACTGGTTTGACCTGGCAAACCTGGAGGCAGGAGGTTGCCAACCAGGTTTCTTCAGGACAGCTTACAGGCACAAACACAGCCTTCAAGCTAGGACCTTTGCAATACTGCTTATTGTGGCTTTGCCCATCTAACCCACCTTCACACAGTGTGTGACACAAGTGTTTGGGACAGCAGCATGCAGACTTGCAGCTTGCTTGCAGAAATACAAGCAGCTTAAGCAGGACATACACATTCTAACTTGGGAAGAAATAGCTCTTTAAAATGGCTTATCTGCAAATTGATAAAATGAGCAGAGAAATGTGGCTTCCAAGACTTCAGCATGCATAGCCCAAGCAGTGTCTTGCTAAGTTGGCTCATGCTTCAAAGAGACAAGAACCAGATGCAACTCAACCATGCCTCCTCTCCATTTCACAGGACTTGTCTCAGTCCTTGTGCCTTGAAGTACGAAACAGCTGTGCACCTTGCTGGAATCAGTCCCACCATAAATACTGTTAACTGCACACAAGCCACAAAAACTGAGAAAAAACAACACAGCACAAGTAGTTCTACATCACTACGCTTAACTGATATTTTCTCACCCTAAAATATTCAACACCTAAAATACCCAAAACATTAGCATTTTATGAGGTGTTTTAGTACAGTTACAGAAAGTACTTAATGACTTAAGATCTCTCCTTCACTGAAGTAGATATGCTTGGTAAAAAGCAAATTCAGATAATTGGTCTTTGGCCACCTTGAGATACTGTGACTGAACACTTTCAGTCTTCACTCCATCTGAAAAGTACCACTCCAAGAGTGGAGCCTTCAAGAGTGCTTGAAAACAATAAAACAACAATAAAATCTGTTGTTTCTCTTCCCCTCCCTCACCTAATTTTGTTCTGCATATGGCCTTTATCCCTTGTCCCTTTTTCACTCAGCATCTGACTATTACCAAATTAAGGCTATTAGGTCTCTGTGTGACTAATATCTCTTGTCAAGCTTTTGATCTGGATCACAGAGAGAAGAACAGAACTTAAATTTAAATTGAAGCAATTATTAAACAGTTAAGCATGGAAATTATTCTCACAAGGTGTGAAGAAGGGTGGAGCTTTCAAGAAAGATCAAGACAGGATTCATTCCACTCCTGTTAAAATTAGAAGAAGGTTGATCAGCCACTCCAATGGCACCAACATCAAACCAATACAAAGCAATTTTGAAAACCCCCATCTATGAGATGACATAATTTTGTAGACTCTTGCATAAAGCTAGTATTAAAAAAAAACCAACAAAAAACAACAAACCGCAAAACAAAAACAAAAACCAAAAAATGGGCACAGAAACATTAGTGTTCTCAGTGCACTTCCTGAGCACACTGCCCAGGACAGCACACTTCCTGATAACCCACAGCAGATGACAGTGGTAAGCCAGCACAAACTTCAAACTTTTAGAAAGTGCAGCAACGAACAGCTTAAGCATAGCTGAAGGGCAGCTTTTGTCACTGAAAACTCCTCAATTCATTTTTTAAAACGGAAGGTTAGTAATCTGACATGAAGAGCATCAACATAATCCAATTGTTAAAAAAAAAGGTAACATAAAAGCCTATCTGAATTTCAGTTAAAAAGTGCCCTGCTTTCACTAGTATTGTTGTAGCAAGTTCAATGCAGTTGCAGGCTCATCCCTTTACACACCTGTTGATGAACTCCTGGAAAGAAGAAAACAGCAGGTAGTCAATGGCACTAAAATCTTGGTCTGTTCCATTTAAATGAAACTGCAAAAACACCAGTTCCTTTTTCTTCACATCACGAGGACCTTGAACAACCAAAGCATACTTCTGTAAGCAAACAGAGAGATGGTAAGAGTAGCAAAGGAATCCTCATTTCCTGTTTGTGAATTTGCCATCTGTCACTAATACTCTATAGAAACCTAATACACATCGAGATTTTTTCCGGCTGCCACTAAGTATATATCTATTAAAATATCTAATGAGAATGTCAATTTAATCCCTCCCTTTAGTTTAAAAAAAGAAGTCTTTGCATCAATATTTAGTGTATTTGTAAGAAACATCCTTTAGTTCTATCACAGTCCTTTGGGTTCACATGGATTTACCAGACAAGGTCCTGCAACCTGCATTCTGCAGAAGGACAATTAAAACTTTTGTTTTGAGCATTAAAGTCTAGAAACTTTCAGCTCTTGATAGGAAACAAGTTCATGTGGAGTCTAATGTGGAGAACATCAGGCTTCTCCTTGAGAAAGAGGAACAGTTTCACAGCCTCTAGCACCTCAAGTAAGCTGCTGAAAGGAAAATAAAGAAAGAAATAAATAGTAATAATATTTAAAAAAAAAACCAAACAAACAAACCAACAAACCAAAATAACACAACCCCAACCAAAAATGCTACCATTCAGAATACAACTTAAAGTAGTGCAGGCATTATATCAAACAGCAAGCTGCTGCTTGTGAAAGGATTCGGCCAATTTGAACAATGTTCCATGTGGTTCAGAGGTCTCTGCCTCAGTGCCTCTCCATGCCAATGCTGAA